AGATTCCGGTAACAAATTTATTTAAGTTTATAGTATCCCATTTTGCCTTAAATCGTTTAAATATAGGAATATCTGGAGTTGTCATAGATCAAATTTTACATTTTAAAAATTTCAGTTAGAATTATCTCAAATATATGATGCCTACAACCAGAATAAATAATATCTCTATTTAATTTATTTTCTAATAATTTACAGGCACCATTATATCTACCAGTGTTCGACGCGGTCGTATCAAAAACAAATGCTTGAGTTTTATCTAGTAATTCCCAACTTTCTAAAATATCAAAAACTGCAGATAAAATTTTAAGCCCTATCACCGCCAACACTTCTGGTACTCCCAATAATTGTTGAAAATTCGTTCCTGTAGCGATGACTGCTAATCGAATGCTAATCTATCGACACATTTCCCAGATATATTTTCCATTATTTTAGTGTCCTAGTGAACAACGACCGACTTTACATTTAAATTAGTGAAGGCTTGCTTTAGTTATTGGTCATATGATTCCCGATAGACAGCTCTAGCATTTCGTATGGATGTCCTATTGATAATATAGTCAGCAGGATCTAATGACACAGCTTCCAAAAACCCAACTAACAAATGTACGGCATTCCTTTCACTAATTTTGCATTTGTCAAAAGTAGCAGCTAATCTAGAGGTCAATAGTTCTTTACAAGCCCTTTTAGGCTTAGACTGTTCATTGCTGTTAATCAATTTCAAAAGATTTTTCCATATATTCTGGTTCAGATTCCGTACTGTATTTATCAGTAACTAAAAAAAATATTTAAATTAAATACCTTAAGAAGATATCTTTATGTAAGAAAAAATAATTTTAAACTTAAATTTAAATAAAATAAAAATACCTGCTGTTGTAATAATATTTCTCAAATTTTTTTCTTTTCTTTTTGTTTCATTTTCTTTTCTAATTTGCTTTCGTCTTTCAATATTTGTCAATTTTATGTCTACTCCAAGCATCGAACCTGGACGTCCTTTTTTTCTTTGTTTAACTAAAAATAACTTATCCTCTTCTATACGTATCAAAGTAAGTGCATCTTGGTGAGCAATATTAAAAAGGTCGTTCATAGAATCACTAAATAATTGTTATTTTTGTTTAAATATTTGATTGGTTTTATTTTTATTTCTTAAAATACCTTTCCACTCCTCTTAAAGTTAAATTAACTAAGCTTTGCATCTATGAGACACTTGTGTCGGAATTTTAGCTTTTTTCCAAAATACAATACATTTTTAAATCACTAGTATAGCGTTATCGTTTAAATTTAGTTTTGTTATTCTCATACTATAAAATAAAACTTTTAGACAGTCACCTCTAGAAGGCAATTTTGAACCTGTTATTTGATGATTCATATACCCAATAAGAAATGACTTTTCACGCGACGACATTTTAAATATTTGAATAATAACTGAAATAATAATTAAATATATAGTTACTGTTATTGCACAACAAACAACACTGACACTATTTTTTATTTTTGGTGTGATTACTGCAGTGGAATAAATGGATATAGGACAACGAAATATTCCCAAGCACGAAAAAGAATTATTAATAATATTCAATACATGCTGTTGCGTAATAATGATAATCAGATATCGCTATAATTTTTAATAATAACTATAATAATAGTTATTTTATAACTGAAATACTTATCATCGCTTAACTTTCGGCTTCAGTCGCCACGTGTTAAATTTGTTCAAATAAGCTTAAACTACAGATTTTTATTTAAAAGATATATAAAAACAAAATTAGGGGGAGCACTCATAAAAAATTAAATTTAAGAAAATAAGTGGTACCCTAATATATATATATATATATATATATATACATATAAACATAAAATTTGTTTATTGAGTCAATAAATAAACATATACAAAAAAAAAATTAATATATTTCTGAATCAAATCGAGTGAAATGATAAAACTCAATAAAAATAATAAAAGGTTTTCTTTGTTTATCATTGTATACGGGTTAAACGTAATAATGAAACCAGCAGTCGACATTAATGTATTGTTATCGTTATAGCTACAAATCTATATATTTCTACAGAATATATACTTTTGTTTTTGTATCATTCTTAAGTTTTCGAAACAAACTATAGCCAAATAGGAGCGAAATTATTATTTAAAATAACAACTATTGGTCTTAAAATCTTTATTAAATGTATTAAACGTCTTGTCTAGACTAATATTTAACTTATCAAAATTATATTATTGAAATCATGATTATTGTTTTTCTTTATTAAAATTACTATTTTATTAATCACAAAATCAACCATCTAGTTCCATCATTTATTACTCCAAATAAACAGCATTCAAAACATTTCCATTGTTTATTCGTTTCTTATTTTTTTTTTTTTTTTTTTTAGACAGCTGCATGAATTCATGTCAAGATTATTTATTATTTATCAAACATACGACATCAGTGTAGGTTTGACGAATTTCATGTTTTATTCTTGACATCCACCTGAATCTCATATACAATTTACTTTGTTTGTTTTTAATTTTGTTCTACAGAATATCGATGTAGCAATGTATACATACATAGGAATATATTGAATAAACAATATAATCAAAGTGTTTATTTTTGTATTGATAAGAGTATTGTAGAAAATCCATGAAATATCAAACATTCAACGTTATTGCACAAGAGTTGGTTGATACTTGAAACAAAATCTAATTAAGTTACTGTCTATTACTTTTAGTTAAACGGTGAAAATAAATTACATTTAAACAATACATACATATTTTCACATATTGAATTCCCTGGATGTATATTTTTTGAATTTTGTGATTCGTGTGCGTTATCTGAATTATTATTATTTTAAAAATATAGTTTTAATATCTTCCATTACGTCTTTCATTTATTTCCGATGTTTCACAATGTGATTCCAACTATATTACAAATGTTCTTAATACTTTCATATTTTACTTCATTTGTCACTATAACGTTTCTCTGAATGTCAAGTCTATTTCCAATTTTAAATCCACTTATTTAAATTAGTTTTTAGTATATTATTTTACTTTTCGTACATGTGTAAAATGTGTAGTGAATATTTTTTATGCATATTTTCGTAGTTAACTATTACATTTTATTTTTCTAGTTTTATTTTATTTAAATAAAAACTTGTTTGGCGATATCATTTTTGTACTGTAGACAATTTATTTTTCACCCAATAAATGTTTTTCTTTTTTTGGAATTTATTAATTTGTATTCTGAACTTTTGATTTGATAATTATTGATTTTTACCATTGTAAGACATCGGATACAAACTACTCATTAAAGATCAGCCCGAGTCCGGGTCAACCTAGACCAGGATCGATTTAAGTCCGATGACATGCTTTTATATTCTTGGTTTAGGTGTGTTTGGGCTTGGAAAGTCATATAATGTGTTACATTTGGTTTAATCATAATATATTTTTAATATCACCGTCGTGGCCTGGTTCGGTCTTTTATTCTTTTGGTCTGCTTTAAAAATAGTATTTTTTTTTCGATTTATTTCTAATTACTTCTAAATAGCATGTTATTATGCTATTATATTATGTTCGTATTTTTGGAAATTACTTTATAAAAGACAGTAATTTTACTCTTCATGAATTATCGGTTATTAATATTGTTTTTTTCCAAACAGGATATTATAAAAATAAACGTTGTTCACTGTTGAATATACAATATAATACGATATACAAATAATACTGTGAAATGTGAATGTCTAAAATTGTTTTATTTTATTTTGTTCGTTCATTGGAGAAGCATCATTGCATCGGTATTCAGTTGATTCGTTCCACGAACATAAAAGTAAGCATAAGAATTTAGTAATTACTACGAAATTGTTATTGTAAATAGTTGTTAGACCAATCATTTAAGAATTTTACATACTATCTTGTACCTATTACCTATGTAAATACAACGCACGCTGCATAATGCACATTGTATAATCGTCATAACATTAATTTAATTTTTAATTAGTTAGTTTATATTATAATTAGAGCAAAGACTTTCATGTATTTTCATGTTTGTCATAGCTCGGGTTTATATTAACAAATAAAAACAGTCCTGGTCTGGGTCGATTATTTTTTTTAATATAAAATCTGAACTGGCCTTATCCGGGCTTTTAAAAAAAATGTGAGCTTCATTCATATTGGTCTGCGTTGAAAAATATATTTTAAGAATTGGACCGGCCCGGTCAAACGAAATTGTCTTAAATATTTGATCTGGTCCGATCCCATTAGGACCGGGCTGATCTCTACTGTTCATATTGAACAATCGATAAACGTATTACGTTTAAAACATATTCAAACATTGTGACCATTCAGTTTAAAACCGTATTGCAGCATCGAAAACATAGGCATAGAGACACTGTTCAAACAATAAGTGTGGTTTTACTTTTGATTCGGGCGTAATTTTTATGCGATTCAAAACAATATACTCATTGGTAAATAAGTCGGGAAATCAAAAACGTTTGTAAACTTCTTTTATGCCGAAACACTCATCCGAAACCGTTACGCGTTTTACGTTTATTTAGCATTATTTCGAGTGCAATAATCGTAGTCAAACGCCAACACGTCGCACTAGTACTAACGAACGACGATACGAGTACACGGGTACCACTTGGCACGCGCATAATTATTAATACACTCCGCTGTTCTTATTCGCATGGTCCCACCCGCAGTGCGCTCGACGGGACGCACAATAAATTACCATTTCCCGTACTCGGACGGTCAGCACATTGTTCTCGAAACCGTACGGACTTAACGAATAACATACATAGACGCAACTAGGTGGGCGCAATAGGGTTTTTAACACCCCTGAGTTCAAATGTAGTACTCCTGTTTTTTTATTTTTCAGGTCTATGTAATTACAGTTAAATACCATTTAATTTTATTTTCAACAATTTCAGCACCCCCCAATATTTGGGCTCTAGTTGCGCCCCAGCAACGATATCTGGCCGGGGCCGTTCGATAATCACTCAATATTCGGTTCACTCACCTCACATTTCGGATATCGTTCCGGCACTCTCTTGACCTTCCAGCCGAGCAACGGCGGTATGCATATGACGCCGCTGAATATCCACACGAAACCGATCATAACGATGGCACGTGACGGCGTCCGTTTCTTCAGGTACGCGACGGCCTGCGTGATAGACCAGTACCGGTCCAGGGCTATCAGGCACAGGTTCATGATGGACGCGGTGCACAGGAGTACGTCCAGGGCCGCGTGTATGTCACACCACCAGTCGCCGAATATCCAGTAGCCCATTAGCTCGTTGGCCAACGAGAACGGCATGACAATTATGCCCAGGAAGAAGTCGGCCACGGCCAGGCTGGCTATGAACCAGTTCTGAACGTTCTTCAGCGCCTTCTCGGTCACGATGGCTATGATGACCAACATGTTGCCCACCACCACGATGATCATGAGCATGATGACCACCACGGAGGCGATCACTATCTCCGGTATCGAGTACGTGGAAGGGTACACGGACTCGAAAATGTAGTACGTTCGGTTGGGGTCCATTGTGCCGTTGGTATCGTTCAGGTAACTGGTACTGTTCTGGTCGACCAGCAGTCCGAACTCGTTCTGGTCGATTTTGAACACCATGCCCGACAGGTTGGACAGGTTCTCGGCCATGTCCAGCTGTTCCATTTTCACGGTGGTGGCAATCGGACGGGAAGGGGGAGACGGTCGAGCGGACTCTAAGTGACGGCCACCAGTGACGCGAATAGTCGATGATGGACCACGTGGACGACGCAAGCAATGGGCTGTTGTCGCCAACAGTCGAAGCTCCTCCACGTCCGCCGGCCTGGCGGTGGTCGCTTTCTCCGGAAGTCCTTCCACCAGACAAAACTCATGACCCGCGTGTGTGCCGGCGCGCAGTGCGTACGTGTGCGTACGTGTACGTGGGCGCGTGCGTGCGTGTGCGTTCCGAGTCCGGACGGTTACCTGGAAAACGAGAAACGGAAAAATTAATTCATACGGTGCGTGACGGCGGTGCATTGCATTATAAACGGGACCCGTGGCGCGGCAGTAAATCCTTCGCTATAACCCTCTCAGCTTTTGCGACGGGAAAACACGGCTTGAGCCGCAGCATTAAGTCCACGTCATGTTTCTCTTCCGACGCCTAATGGCTAACGATAATATTCAAATAGATTACCGATCGTCTAGCAGACAACTCCGCGGCGTACAGGTACACAACATGTGTTCCCGTTAAGCAAATCAACCTGGTTCGACGGCTTGTCGGGCGTAAGCTTATAACTAGGCTTAGGGGATTCTAGTATTTGCATATTTGTTCCGAAAGATTAATAGGGCATAGCAGAGTCAGCAGAGGCCTACCGTTCTAGAGGGCGCGACAAATCTAAATCCTAAATTTTATTTTGCATATATTTGCATGTTTGACAGGTTTTTTTTTTAATTTGTATAGTATATTTTAGCAGTACGTAGCTTTCAAGTGCCATTAAAGGTCATATTATAATATACCCACTCAAATATCTTATGGTATACCACGCATTTATTATTTTGTCGATTGCTTGAAGATCTAATAAATAATAATATAGATTTTTTTTTTAAGTATGCGTCGTTTTCTTCCCTTGATGTGAAACAAAGATTTTCGAAATATAAAAATTTGCCTTCAAATAACCATCGCGGATTTCAATTTATAAACATAAATTACATCTAATAGTACAGTGCAATTCTTATATTAAGTTTTAGTGAAAAAATTAAATAATTCAAGTAAATTGTAAATCATTATTTTTTTTTATTAAAGGCACAAAATAATCAATACTATCAACAAACTTTTATATACATCTAATATTCACCCAATACGAGGGATTAAATATCTCGTAAATTTTAAATGTTATTATGTTGTACAAATCATAAGTTGGGATAATGATTAGTGGTTGTTTATAATTAATAATAATCACGTTGAAAATTAACAGAAATTTTTTTACATTAAAACCAGTCGATGCGGACACTGTGTAATACGCGAATTTCCCTTTTATTGAAACTAATTTATAGCCCATTACAATCTACATCATGAGTATTTCATGGGTCACACCAAATAAACACTATTTTTGAGACGAACTATATTATAAAATTGATAAAATTAGACTATATCTTCAACAGTCTTAGCTACTGTGTGGTAAAAATATTATTTTCTAAAAAAAAAATTTGTGTTTAACTTTTTACTATTTACTGGTATATTATTGTCTACATGTGAAATATATTATTCTACCATATACTATTTTGTATAATACTCAGGCCCATATTTAAAAATTTGGCACCCCCGGGCTTATAATTTATTCCCTCCCCTCCCGAATAAATAATAATAATATAACACTTATTATTTTGTCCAAAATCGAGATTCATTAATATTAAAATGTAACTTATAAATGAAAATCGTTTGATACTTTTTTAATTAACAAATTAAACAAATTATAATATAATAAAACATACTATTTGATTTTTTTTCATTAGGTACATCATTTTTAAAATTAATTTTGCCAAAATATTTTGCCGCCCCTGAGACTTGATGCCCCTGGTCATGTGCCTACCTGTGCCCCTCCCTAAATACGGGCCTGATAATACTAAATTGGTATACATGCAGTTGGGTTTTAAAATCTGCTGTCATCATACCTTATCAGTGAAAATTAGAAAAGCACAATAATCTATTGTCATTATATTTATACTCCTGTTCCTGATATCCGTCGTTATCACAAGCCAACACGTATCTAGGTACGAGAATTGAAAATAATATTTCATGAAATATTTCTACAATCTCACTTTGGTTAATAGCCATATCTAATATAAAGCACAATTATATATTACTTCACATTTCAAGTACTTTCCCCTGTGCTTGTATGCAAAATAAAACAACGGACCCGTTGTATGATATCATTTTAATAGGGTACTCAAATACGTTTCTGTATATGACTAAGTGTTACATACATACATCTTATCATGGAATAATAATAAACGAGATCAAATATCACGAAAATCAGCTTCTAATATTTTAATATTGAATATTTTTACATTTTAGTTAAATTATAAATTTAAATTTATAGTGATATACTCATATTTATGAGTTAAATTCATTAGTAATTGTGTTAGAAATCTAAAAAAAGATATATGTAAATCAAAATATTTTTTAATGATATAAAATAGAAATAAATGAATAGTATTAAAATAATTAAAATGTTCGTATCATCTTTATATTTGATAGGTAAAAAATAACATTGAATTATCAATGCGATTAAGATTTAATACATTTTAGTAGTTTCAAGTTTCTATAACCAACTTACGGTTTAGAAGAACTATGTAAATTCATAACTGTTCATAAAATATTGTAAATTACAAAAAAATACATTAAATTTTTGTTATATATAATGTATTTTAAATTAAAAATTTCATTATTAAATACGATTCTAATATAGTAAAAGGAATTCCATAATAATATGATAAACTACGTTTTATTCAATGATAAAAATGTTCGATCAACTTTAATTTGCATAATTATTCAATTATAAAATAATTCAATAGTACAATTTGAACTTCACATAAATAGTTTCAAATTCAAATTATTTTCTTGGCTAAGTTATAGTATAATTGCCAAAACACTATTACGTTAAATTATGTATAGTATTTATATATACTTAATGCATTATAAATATTTTAAACGTGGTTAGATGTAAATAAATCAAATATAATTATAATTTTATAATTTGTAAACTATATTAAAATTTTGTTCTGATTAATATCATACGTACCGTATAATTAATAATAATTTATTTTATAAATATAATTGAATGAATTAATTTTAAATAAAATAAATTATAATAAAATACAATGATTTCCGTAATTATTAGTGTAAATGCTATGTGCATTATATAATATATAAGTACAATATTTTATTTGTTCTAATTTTAAATGTGTTAGGAAAAGAGTTGCTATTATTTGGTGAATTTTTAATCTAGCTAATAATGATTGTTTTAAGTGGTTTGTAGTATTTTTCAAATTCATTTTTGTTTCAATTTTGGGGAAATATGTTGGATATATTTTATAAAATTTGAATAAATATAAATCATGTTTTAAATGAAAATTTGAACGATATATTCTATTAATATAATAATCAAATACATTCTTCGTTTCACTCAGAAACTTAAATATGTATCAAGTTTTAATTCAGTTGACGATTTTACTACAAAAATTTTAATCATAGCCTTTTAAGTGTATCAATTAAGTTTAAATAAAAAAAATCAATATTATATTTATTAATGTATAAGAATGCTATAATTATATACAATAAAAGTTATAACACAGATTATTTCACAACATATTTATATTATAGATATAAGCAATCAATATTGTATAAAAAAAAAAAAATTATGTGCTTTATTAAAAATAAAATGCACAGTACTAAAAATATATTAGTAGTAAAAATATCAAATTTATAACACGTAATGATGAATTCTGAAAATTATAAGAAAATATACTGTCTATTTAAAACGTGTTTCAAAAAACTTTTTAAGTTCAAAACTAATTTAAAATATGATAATATCAAAAACCTTTTAAGACGATTGAACGAATGAAAATATTATAATTTTATAATCATTATAATTTTCACGTGTGTTGACTATAACTAGGAGCTAAAATTAAAATTAGCTACTTGACGATAGTATTCCAGAGTATTAAAAACCAAAAACTTAACCGAAATTCCCTCAAAAAAACGACCAAGAGGAAGTCTTCATCAGAGATTGTTGGACAAGGTGGGTGAAGAAATATATTTTAGATGTCGACAACTCGATATCGACTACAACGACTGAATGATGTGATAGACAGGAATGGATGAAGAGACTTGGTGGAAGCATGCAAAAGGTCTCAACGACCATTACAAAAAAAAAAAAAATTGACGGTATAGATAATTGATAAAAGATACAGACTCATGAGATATATACGTAATATAATTATAAATGTTACGAGCTTAGTTGAGCACAGATAAAATTGAGCGATTCATAGAAAATTTACATATTTTTAATAATATTTTTTTTTCATTTCATATTATATATTGTTATAATTTTTATTAATTTTAATACTGTCTTATTTATTAACAATAATTTGTATGGACAATAAAATGTACTCCAATTAAATTATTAATTCAGAGCAAAAAGAAATATTCTATCTATATATCTTACTTTTTACATAGGAATAAATTTTTATGGTAAATACAATTTGGGATGGTAAAAATGCTCTATAAGGTTCAATTTATAAAAAAATTGGGTGTATATTGTATTTGAATATTAAAAGTTTTCAAGAAAAAAAATGCAAAAGAATGTTACGCAGATATGGTTTTGTTTTAAAAACAATTCTAGACCGTTTTTGAGTAAAACTTATTTTGATTAAAATGTTTCACCAAATATATGCTATATCTTTTTATTGCAATTGTAATGTTTATTTACAATAAATTAATCGTTTATTAAATACTGAACAGTAAACTGAAAAATATTAAAATTATGTATTTTTTTAATTTAATGTTCGAAAATAATTCAGCGAAGGTCAAAATTAATTTTATAATTATTTAAACTAACCTTTTTAAATTAGGTTATAAAATGAGAAATAACTAAAAGTCCCCTAGGAAATATAAACACTGGACATGTTTTAGCATTATATATGTTTATATAACCACATTGAGTACAAAAATGCTATTAACTTAACAAATCATATCTCCCTGGTAAAATTTATCACACACATAACTAATGATTCTAGTTCATATATTTTAATTCTATTGTTTTGTTATAAAAAAGTCCACTTAATAGAAAAAAATATTATAACAAAGTTACAATTATATAGTTGTATAAATTAATCCTATAATATATTTCAATAGTAGAAAACATTATATTAATGTATGTTGATATATCACATTAAATAAAATATTATGTTGAATAGAATTG